ATCCACCAAGGAGGCTCCAAAAGTCAAGCTAGCCCAATTACCTGAGGGCCTAAGACATGCGTTCTTGAGAGATAAAGGCACATTCCCAGTCATCAAGTCATCTAAACTCGATGCATTACAAGAACAACGATTGATTGACATGTTGAAAGAGCGTAATATTATCCAGGATCAAGGTAAAAATGAAAGCGGCTCATGACAAGCAGATCCTGGCGAAGAATTACTTAGAGCGGGTGAACCAGGTGGAATAGATCATTCTCGACGACCTCGTTTACCAGCCCTGAGTAGTTTGCTCACATCTCCTGTATCATATTTTTCTTTTTATTTTCTTCGTTTCTTTACATTTTTTTCTGTGTGTGTTTTTGGAGAATCATATCAGGAAGCTCAGGCTGTGCTCATAAGTGGAATGCTCATCATCCAGGTGTCTTCTTTCTCTATATTTCCATAATTTTTGACACTGAGGACACTGTCTGATTTTGGTTGGGGGTGGTAATCATATTCATGCGTAAGAGTGATTTTTGTCACGTTGATATTTGGGTTAAAATTTTTGCAAAGTTGTCTGAGTATGATTTCAAAATGTTTGGTTTGAGTCGATTTTCGCTGTCTTGGTTACTAAGAAATGACTTCCAGAGTTTCTTTTTGTACGTGCTAAACCTTGTGGTAAGATGGATGTTAATGCATGTCAGTTAAGAAAATTCTCGAGTTTAAGTGCTTGATTTTTGGTGAGTCAAGAGAGTAGAGAAAACGACTTTTGAACTTTTATTGACCTCATTGAGCTGGTAAAATCACTGTTAGAACATCATTACATGGTTAGTGGTATGCTTGGTGCATATGCTTGAGGGATGAATTTTGGGTTAGATAGGAATTATCTTATGTAATAGAGCCGTATTTCTTATTTTTCTATTAAAATAATAATAATAATAATAATAATAAAAAATAATAAAAAAATAAACTGAGCAAGAGCAACATTTCACAGATCTTATAGTTTGGTGTTATCACATTCGACGCTATATAGTTGTTTGTTAAAAGAACACCTTTCTACATTCACTTCAGGTTGTCTCTTGCCAAAAAAAAACAAAAAAACAAAAAAAAGAGTAGTTTATTTTTCTATGCATTTTTGGCTCTTTGATCGTTTCTGTAAATTTCTGTTTGACCCGAATGAAATTCCAAAAGCTGGTTTGTGGTAAGAATGGTGGAATGTTCTAGTAGTTGATTAACCTATCTTTTGGTCAATGTTCGTTTGACTGTTTGTCCTAAATTTGACCTTCCTCACACTGAGCGTTGATTGTTCTGCTTCCAACTCCATAAGAGAAAACATTTACACTCAAATATTTCTGACACCTGTGAGATCAATGGAGTTGAGACTTTTACTTAGTGAATTTTTTAAAGCTGCATGTGTTATGGTCAGTGGTAAGAAGGTTATGGTTTGGAGCACACACACACGACTCTGGAGTTATGACTGCAATAATCTTGATAGTATCTTTTGACTTCTCACTGACAGTTTGTTTGAAATACTCAGGTGACTAAGCGAGTTGAGACTTAGATTTTCTTTGTGACATGATTTCTCTTGCGCTTGGATTGCTAGAGACTAGCAATAAGCTAGTTGGGGGTTGTGATTAGTGCATGAAAATGCACCATAAATACTGCTTTTGATTTATATAATATTAAAATATTTAAGCTTTAATTAAACAATTCCATTATTTTTATTCATAATATTTTTAATTGGAATTTGTCTAGTTTTTACTTAATTATTTACTGTGTAAAAAACTACACAAAAATAAGCCATGAAAGCCATGTTTTCAACCATCCGGAGCCACGCCTCAGCCGAGCCGCACCAAGCCGAGCCAAGCCACTATTTCAGTCCGCGTGGGCCCCAGCTCGCCTGCCATCCTCACTCCATCTCGCGCGCGTCCCTAGCACGCCCGTCCCTCAGCTGGCGCGTTCCCTCCACACAGCATCAGCGCGCGTCCAACTCTCCCGCATGGGTCCCGTACCTGCGCTGCCAGCCTGCTCCTTCCCTTTGCGCGCGCCAACTGTCCGAGCGGGTCCCAGCTGTCTCCCACGA